TTCCTTCTTCCCGGCCCAGAGAGGGAGACCCTGTACGGCCCAAAGAGACACAGCCTAAAGGCAAAAAATAAATAAAAATAAAACAAGACCCCTGAGGACAAGCTAAGGAAACATAAAGCATGGCCACCGCCCCCTAGCAAGATGCCAGACTCTTTCTTTTTTGGTTTTTCGAGACAGGGTTTCTCTGTGTAGCTTTGGAGCCTGTCCTGGAACTAGGTCTGTGGACCAGGCTGGCCTCGAACTCACGGAGATCCGCCTGCCTCTGCCTCCCGAGTGCTGGGATTAAAGGCGAGCATCACCACCGCCCGGTAGCACACGCCTCCCCTGCTGGGTGGGCGAGGAGGCCTCACTAGGCTGCGCCCTGCAGGGGGAAGGTCTCCATGGCTGAGATCAAACATCAACCAGCCGGGCACCTTTCAGCTGGGATAGAGATCACGAAAGGCTAAAGGTGAACTGACGGCAGGGGCCTTAAAACTAAAGCTAAAGAGTAAACGGAGCAGGTCGGCAAACAGTTTTTAACTATTCCTTAGCTCAACGCTAACAGAACTGCAAGGGCAAGCCGGGCGGGCGTGAGCGCGCTCAGTCATCCCGGCCTGAGGAATGCTTACAATGTTAAACCGAGGAGTAGGAAAGTTAAATATCCCCCCTGCCCCCGTGGTGAGCCTCAGAGGGCACAAGGGTACCCTCTCACCTCGTAGCCGTGAGACCCTTGGGAGGAACGGCTTTGTGCCCGCTTCAGTGACAGCTACAAGGAACAAAGCCCTGGCCTCCTTCTGCTACCTCTTAATCTCTGCAAACTGGGCCCCCCTCCCGCCCTGACTCCAACCCACTGCCCTCAGGTCACCTTTTGTATCTGATTTGCCTGGAGACCTGAAGTTGATGTCATATCGAATAATAATCAGAGATAAAGAGGCCATTTTTTTTTTTGGTTTTTCGAGACAGGGTCTCTCTGTGGCTTTGGAGCCTATCCTGGCACTCACTCTGTAGACCAGGCTGGCCTCAAACTCAGAGATCCGCCTGCCTCTGCCTCCCGAGTGCTAGGATTGAAGGTGTGCACCACCAACACCTGGCTGGACCAAGTATTCTTAACTGCTGGCCACCTCTTGAGTTTGGCAATCAATGTTTATTTATTGTTATGTGCATTGGTGTTTTGCCATGGGTGTCGGGTCCCCTGGAACTGGAATTACAGACAATTGTGAGCTGCCATGTGGGTGCTGGAAACTGAACCCTGGGTCCTCTGGAAGAGCAGTCAATGCTCTTACCCACTGAGCCAGCTCCCAAGCCCCTTGGAAATCATCCCAGCCATCAGTTTCCCACACAAGGCATGGGGACTGCTCAAACTGGCTCTTCTTTTCCATAGACTTGTGTCTCTTCACACCCGAGGGCTACACTTCTCCTCTAGGCATCTAAGTGTGACCTGGGTTTGGTTGGCGCCTGGCATCCGTTTGCCTTTTGCTAGATGTTACACGTGCGAGAGAAAGTGGCAAAGCCAGAGAAACCTGGGTTTGTGAATGGGTGCCCTGTGGAGACAGGTCCCCGCCCCAATCCAAGATGCTTACATGAAAACAAAAAGTATACAAACATCCTGGGGCTGGAGAGATGGCTCAGAGGTGAGGAGTGCTGGCTACTCCTCCAGAGGTCCCCACGTTTGGTTCCCAGCACCCACATAGGTGAACTTTCAACTACCTGTGCCCCGGCTCGATGGGATCTCACTGCCTCGAGGCACCTACACTCACATGCACCCACCCACTCATACAGGCACACATATATACACATAATTTAAAAAATGAAGTCCTTAAATCCAAACCAGGAAACTGAGTAAGACAGGATGAGGGGGAAAGTGAAGTTTAATAGAGAAAGGACACCCAGCTGGTGGGTGTGAGGGCTGTCATGTGACCCAAAGTGGCCGATCGATCAGTGGCCTCCCCTGGCATCCTCTGCACTGAGGTGAGCGTCTACAGGCCCTGAGGTGACTGAGGTTGACAAGCTCTGGGATGAGCCTGTCTAGAGAAGGCAGGTTGTATTGAGAAGAAACAGTCAGAGAAAAAGGCCCAGCCCTGCCCCAAGCCGAAGGCCTC